TGCCCTATATGTTGGCAACAGTGGAAGGACGTATAAGGCGTGTATTCATGCATATCCTGTTTGTGCATTGTCGTGCCGTATTGCTTGCAGATACGCCATTCATTGGTGTCACACGTGTCGTATTGTGCACGACGGATTTGTTCCTATTCCCGAGTTAGGTCTGTACTGTGGCTTCGTGTTTCGCGTTCGCCCGTAGTTCACGCCGGTCATGACCCACGTCTCCCCATATCTCTTTTCTGCGCTCTTGTCGGACTCTTGCCCTGCAGTCGTACTAGTCAGTAATGGCCTCGAACGTCGGTCGCCTAGAACGCACGGAATTTGGTCGATCCGTCGTAGTGATCTCGCGCGGGAACCCTGGTGAACCGCGCCAGGACCACTGAATGCTCCGCCTTTATAAGTAGAGCCTGGCTTAGCCATTGGTACCACCACTCGGCGCACTTTAGCTCGCTTAGCTTTTCCTTGAGCCAGCTTTTCGCTCAGCCTTCCTTGCAACCACCGCCTGAGATGGTAGGAGCCTGGGTTAGTACCTACTGCCTGAACGTTGAGGGTTTTCCTAGAATCCTGCATGCCACCGTGCAAAACCTCGGAGTCAGAGATCGTCCTGAGTATGAGGGCCGTGAGTATGAGGAGCATGGCACCGAGCGGTGTGAGGTTACCGTCTACATCAGGAAGAGTGAAGAGTTCCTCGACCTCACTGAAGCCTGGAGTGTGACCATAACCGGGTTTCGCTTCGTCGACACCTACCAGGTTGTGGCCCGCAAAGCTTTGCGGTACCTCTGCTAGACCTATGAGAAGCCCATTGCCCATACCCCCATGCGGTTCTTTCCTTCTTTGGACAAGAATCGACGGGCATGGAGGGCTCGCATGGAGGCTTTGCAAGGGAGGGATGCGCAAGAGGACAGTCCCACCGTGGTGCACTTGACCACATACCTGCTCGCTCTAGATGAGCGATCGACGACCGTCAAGCCTTGGGCCCAGGGGCGTGCCTTCGGTGCGTCGGGGGAGGCCGAGGTCTTCAACCGGATGCTCTAGGTGCAGCTCGTCGAAGCGCATGCCAGTGCTGCAGCTGCTGAGAGCCAGGAAACTGCCATGTTGGAAGCCCTAAAGGAGGCTGAAGATCGGCATGTCCATCAGCTACGGGTGGCCTGTCTTGTCACCAGGGCCGAGCGGAGGACGTTGGCTGCTGAAAGGCAGGATGCCCTGATCTTGGAAGGGATCCCTATCCACCCGCCAGAAAAAAGAACTAGTGTTGCAGCACCGCCAGCACCTCCACCCTCGGAAGTGTCAGAAGTTGAGCTCTTGATTCCTCTCACTCAGCCATTGCCACGAGAGGATGTAAATTAGTTACCTTGGGATGTTGTAACCGTAGTAGTAGTAGTGTTTTTCGTTGCTGTCCTCTGGTATTGTATTATTGCCGTTGTTGTCCGTCCGTAGTTGTTGAGATCGTCCGCCAGTAGGGAAGGTGAATGTTGTATCATGCATGGGAGCCTGAATGCCTGTATGATGTACCAGTATAAGACCGTTGGAACATGCATTTTATTTAGTTCGCTGTGTTTATTGTGTTCATCTACCTTAAGTTCGTTAGACGTGCTTAAAGTTTTCAAGGGCAATATTAAGTGGGTTACAAGAGAAGTTGACATTCAGATGCCAACAGACCAGCCGTGATTGGATAATAATGGACACTGTATCGACTAATTGTGGATGTCCCAGCAGAACACTTGAATCTCTTTAAAACAAATCCGCTGTTGGATTTGAATTCCTTGTCCCTTGTTGTGAAGGGAACCCTTGTTGTTTGAATCTTCCATTGCAACACTCCCCTTATTCTGTGGTCTATGACCCCACCGCCTTTATGGCGTATAAGTTGGTAGTAGTTGCCTGGTTAATAGCTTATGGTGCCGCGATGAAACCGAGGGTTCTCTGTGGAACAGCTGCCACATGGTGACGCTGCTCGGCACGTGCTGGTATCGATGTTGTTGACCAAGTACCTTTAACAAGTTACACCGCCGTACCGTTTTTACCACAAAATATTTTCCTTGAAAATGTTCAGGTGTTGAAACGGGAAATCCACAGCGGGTTGGTGTAGAAGTGTTCTCTCTAGCAACCAAGAGGAGATGGTTTTGGAGGAAGAAAGTATGACATGGTCTCAGTCTACATGAAAGACGGATGTGGTCGAGTAAAAGAAAGAAAAAGAAGAGTAGTAAGGAAGGTTAGCCGTGGGTAGTCGTAAAAGCCTGAGTGGACGTCATGTCCCAAGCCCTGTGTTTAGTTAACCGTGCTACGCATGCCGGGTATTTCGCTGCGTGCCCTACGAACGCCGCCTGTGTCGGGACCTGTAGCACCCTATTTTGCGTGGCCTCGGCATCGTGCCGTGCTCGCCGTTCTTGTGCACTGTCGCTTTTCCTTTTCCTGGCGTCTGGTCGGCTCTCTACCCCGCACCATCGTTCCTCGTACCGGACCCCCCTTCCCTCTCCTTTCTTTCTTTTTTTGTGGACACGACCGCCCACACGCCTGCCTCGACGAGCAGACCCCCTCTCCTCTCCTTTATTTTCCCTCCGCCGCTCGCGCAGGAAGCGCACCATGTCCCCGACCTTATCTCCACAGTATGCACCGTCTGTGTATCCCATCCCCACCGTATCCGCTTCCGGTGTGTTGTGCCCCACCTCCGACCGCCTCTATAAAATACCCTTGGTCTAAGTAAAACATACGTGAAGCGATATAACAATTCCTATAAGGATAGCCTTGCATATCCTTGGAGTCTTTTTCTTTCCTCCTATCGGGTAAGTCTTGCTAAGTACAATTAAGTACTCAGGGTTTTATTCCCCCTGTTGTAGGTGATAGGTGAAGGCTAAAGCTGACCCTTGTGTGTGGATACCTCCTGATGGGCTCAGCGATGATTTCTTTACGCTGCGATCGTAGTTTTTATTTACAACTCTCACCAAATGTTTTTATAAATGAAAGTTTATAATCTGTTGTCATAGTTGTTATATATCAACACTTCAACATGTCATAAATAGATATTTATTTCCGCTGTAATCCTGATTACATGTTTACATTCCGCTGTTAACTTAAATTGTCATAACTCTGTTAACATGTTTATATTCTGCTGTTACATTAAGTTATTCATAACTCTGATAATATAATTACATTCCGCTGTTATAATAAATAAATATTATACTCTGATGTTGTACTAAAAATGATGTAAGAAGTAGTTAAGAATGATGTAAGCTTTATTCTCTCATTTGTGATTATGATGGCGAAAATATGGATTTTCGGGTTCTCCCCTGGGGTGTGCCCGACGAAACCGAGTAATTTAGTGTCCTCCTTTGGGGGCTTAGTGTTTAATGGAAGACGAGCACTCCTGGGAGGCATTAGATTAGGCGGTTCTGCCACAACCGGCCTCGTTCTCTCCCTATGTTGCAAACACATGTTTCAATTGTTGCATATGTTTCAGAGGTATGTTGCAAGTGTTTCGTATAGATATTGTAAAAGTAGATCGGGATATTGCATATGTTGTAATGGCTATACACGTATGTTCAAGCATCTGTTTCAAATGTTTAATTTGTTTTTTTTCAAACGTACGTTGCAAGTGTTTTTATTTAAACGTTGCGTATGTTTCACATATATGTTTGTAAGCCCTTGTTTAGTTGGACTCCAAATTCCAAAAAGTTGCTACAGTACCTGTCACATCGAATGCTTACGGTCCGTGCATGGAGCATTAAATGTAGACGAAAAAAAACTAATTGCACAGTTTGGTGGGAAATTACGAGACGAACGTTTTGAGCCTAATTAGTCCATGATTGAACATTATTTGTCAAATAAAACGAACGTCTACAGAGATAGCCCCAAAATCCAACTTTGGGGAACTAAACGCTAAATGTTTTTAGGGTGTTGCATATGTTTTGCAATGGTTTTAAGTGTTTTTAGGTGTTTCGTGAGTGATTCAGACGCATGTTTTAAATGTTTCATCTTTTTTTCAGACGTCACGATACAAAAAATTTTATATGAATATTTTGAAAGTTGGTCGGATATTATATATATTACAATGTGACTCACCAGTTATAGTCGCGTGCTGCAGCTACTGGCATGTCGTGTTTGCGTGTGGGGGTAAGCGCTGGGATGGAGCGTTGGACGGCTGAAGACGCAGAAAGCGACGCTGGCGGTCCCCGTCTAGCACAGGCGTGCACCGTGGACGTCCGGGCGGTAGTACGTTTTTTTTTCAAAAGACCGCGGGTAATTAAGCGCCCTCGGGTGTTGCAGACTTTGCCGTACAATACGATTCTCCGTGTCCTCGTGGCTTAGGCTCGGGCCGGACCAAAACGTGGCGGACTCGAGCGGGCCGGCCTCAATTTACTCGGGTTCGTTGCACGAGACGGCGAGACGCGGACTCTCTCCCTCCCGTCGGCGGTCAGCCAGCAGCCTTCCGTCGGCCAGCAGCAGGGCTCTTGGGCTTGGGTGGCGAGCGCGCGGGCGGTGCACGGGGCGCCGGGTGGCTGTATGCTGCAACGTTGCCTTGTCTTCTTCCGTCGCTCCCAGCGTGCGCGCAACCCCCAACCGACTGGGCCGGCCGTCGCTGCTACTTCGGCCCCTTCGCCGGCGACGAGCACCACCAGGTACGCCCTCCCCTTTCCAGTTCATTTAGGCTGGTTTGGAGCCATGGCTACGGTTGACTGGTTTGATACGAGAGAAAAATATTGTTCGTATAAGTCAAATACGACTAAAGGAACAGGCTGTCGGTCTTCCCTTCCTGCTGTGCGAAACCGTGCGCCCAAACCCTAACTTACCATTCGTATTCGGATCTGATCTGAATCTAATTATTACATGTGTATACTAACTTCGGGTGTATTATTCTAGAGCTCACAAACAAACTCTCAAGGGTCGTAGCGTTGGGTGTTTGGAAGGATAAAATTGTTGGCCTCGAGGATTCCGGAGTTCACAAACAAACTCTTGAGGGTCGTGCCTTCGGTCTTCAGGTGCTCTGAAAGCCAGACAAATTAATCATCATGGAGCTAAATAATGGATATATTCAGGTAAGTCATTGACACTCTTTTTGTGCTATTAATTATCACCAGTAGCCTGGTAGGTCTATAAAGGCTCAATCTGTTTTTTTCTTTCCTTTTCCTTTTCAGAAATCGGATGATGAAGATAGGCTCAGCATGCTGACTGATGATGTATTACTCTCAATTCTGGAGAGAGTTGACATAACTACGGCCACAAGGACAAGCGTCTTATCCACGCGGTGGAAACACCTGCCGTGGTTGTTCCGTGAGCTCACAATTGATGTCAGGGAATTCCTATCTGTTCCTCCCCCAAACCCCATTGAAGTTGGGCATATGGATGAAGCAATGGCTTCCCTGACCAAAGCAGCCACTAGCTTCTGGGCTACTACCCGGAGCGAAGCCACCATCACAAGGCTGCAGCTCAAGCTCTATCTGGTCAACACTTACTCGGATGTCATTGGCCCTCTAGTTAGTCAAGCAACTGAGACTGGGACTCTACAAGATTTAGACCTGGCCATTTTGGACGAGAAGGAGCCTGATGACTGTTACGAAGAGGAAATGCGCCAGCAAGCTCGCACTGTGGACGGCTTCTTCAGTGCCTATCCTAGTGTGCTCCGTTGCCTCTCAAAACTGGAACTATACAATGTTTGTTTTGCTGAATGGGATCTGCATCACCTTTTATTTGACTGTTGCAAGCAGTTGCAGCATCTCTCCCTCTGCAACTGTGATGCAGGGGGGCTCTCGCCTTGGAAGATACAAGCACCGGATTCGAAGCTTAGTCTTCTTGAACTTGACTTCTGCTGCTTGGGGAAGCTTGAGGTGCTCTGTCTTCCAAAACTAGAGAAGCTTCGTTGGGATACTTGGATGTTTCCATTAACACCCCTGTCATTTGGTGTTGCCCCATTCCTTAAGGAATTGAACCTCATATGTGGTGCGTCAGTTCATCATCAAGGGTTTGATTTGAGTAAGGTTCTGAGGGATACAACAGCTATACATAACATTAAATTTCAGAGGAGAAAAGGTAAACACACACTCATTTTCGTGCACTGTTGTCTGGGTGTATTTAGCTGATTTAATAAATAAAAAATATCAAACGGTTGACATATTTGAGCATGATATGGAAAACATATTAACCAACTAATTATTCATGTTGTTTTCTGCATCTATGTTTCTTCAGCTTTGGATAAAACCGGAAGGGAAGCTGCTCTGCGCTGCATTCAAGAAGCTAAGGAAGTTATCTCTACATGGTATTTTTGTTGAATTCGATTTGTTATGGATGATGGTTCTCCTTGAAGGCGCGCCATCAGTTGAGATATTTGATATTGAGGTAGTTGCCTGTTTTCTATTTATTAAATGTTTTTCCTTTACAAGATAAGGTTGGTTCAAACCTTTCTGTATTTGGAGGGCAGTGTGGTGGTTTTGTTACAACCAAAGTTCCACAATTATTTTCTTTTCTTAAAGGAATTTACTCTTTTTTATGTACCATTCTGTACAGATATGGGAACATCCATGCGTAGTAGACACAGAAGGTAGAAGGAAAACTTATGGTGAAAGAACAAATCCATCATGGAACATAGCTGAGTTCAAAAGCTGTAAGGAATGGCTATTGAAAGAGGTGCAGGTTACTGGCTTTAGCCCAATGGAGCAACAATTAGCACTTTTAAGGGCTGTGATGCAGCGAGCTTCCAACCTACAAACCATTGTCCTAAAACATTACCAGCCTTGTGATTACTGTGACGAGATAGGTGCACTTCCTCGTTGTGAAAGATTACCACCAGAACGGGTGTTTCCAAAGGGAAAGGGCGAGCAGGACGCTGCAGTTGAGCAGCTGATTAGAGACATGCCTGACTGCAATGTTCAGATAATTTTTGGGAACTAAAAAGTCAATAGAACATGTGGTGTGTCTTATTCGGTGATGAATAGTATCAAATGTTTTTTTTTTTGGTTTGGAATTTACACGTTGAGGAACCTGTATTATTATGTCTTTTCAAACAGTATGCTGAACTTAATTATTCTTGGCGGCAGTCTTAATTGTGGAACCCTTACACTCCTCCGCTGGATGATTTTCCATTGTTTTGATATAATTTCTTGCCGAAACATGGCTTGGACAGAATGTAGCAAGGATATCCATACCTCTTTTTTTTTTTTTTTTTTTTTTTGAATTGGGATATCCATACCCTTTTGAAACTAATGTTGGATTGTTATGTGACAGTTTGTATAGTCCATATGTATTAGGGGACCATCATAAATTCTTAATCATATATCGTGACAATGCAACGTATGGGTTAATGGATGTCAATGCAATGCTTATGGTACCGTCCATGTCTTCATATTTAAATTTTAATTTTAATTTTGCATTTGGTTTCAAATACAAATTGTGTGTAAAATGCTGATTTGCTATGATAAAATATTTCCTAGAGAATCGAATCTTAGGAAACACATTTTCCATATAGGATCCGTGAGCTAATTTTCCTTACTCAATTTCCAATGAATGAAATCTAGCACTTTTTTCCCCATATATAGGATCCGTGAGCTACTTTTCCAAACTCATTTGCTAAGAGAGAAATCTTGCACTTTTCTATTCTCGGTCAAAGTGTTCTTTGAGAGAACAGGAGGGCTTGAGCCCCTACTCAAATTTATTGAAAGGGCAAAAAGGAGACAAACAAGATAAGGTTAATTACAATCTTTGCTCTAACCATGAACTAATTCCTAGAAGGTATTTTTTCTTCGCACGTAGTGTAATTAGGCTGAAGATGTTCTTGAAGATACACTTGCATCGATCTCTTGTAGCTTCCTCACACCTGAAAATGAGGTTGTTTCTAGTCGTCCAGATACTCCATCAGAGAATTATGATGACCTCTGAAACGGTCCTTGGGACCGTGGGATAGTCAGCCCAACAAGATTCCAACATCCGAACAGGTGTTCCACCGTCTCCTCCACCGATCCATTGCTGAGAACGCAACTGAAAGATTGCGGATGCATGTTCTTCCTTCGTAGGATATTACGCGTACTGAGTCTATCATGAGCAAGGAGCCAGAAAAAAACCTTGTGCCTGTGCTTGTTCTGACAAGAAGACTTCCAAATCCATCCGAAGGCGGGATGCACCAAACGCGAGCCAGTGAGCTGCTTATAGGCTTTGCCCGTGAGCCTGCAGGGTATATTTGTTGAATTCGACCTATCGTGGACAATTAGCGCTTCTTGAAGCTTCACCGTACCTCGAGAAACTACATGTTCAGGTACTTTTTATTTTTTTTCTTTATTTATTATTATTATTTTAGCCGATGCTTTTTAAAATTTTAAAATGCCCTGGTGTTCTCTCTGGTTCTGATAGCTTTGTTTTTTGGATTAGTCTGAGTGATTCCTGTGCTGGAAAAGCACACTTAACAAAATTGGCAGGGTTCACCTTTACTCAATCATAGCCAGGTTTAGTTGAAAACCTTAGTATCTTCCATCCTTTTTTTATTTAAAGTTATATTCTAGGAGTGGTGAACACAACCCAGCTCCACATATAATCTGTAGTTTGTAGGCTAAAATAACGTGACTATCTTGCTCCAACAATCTTCCAAACAGGCTTGTAAAATTCTTCATATGGTTTAAACTTTAAACTACAACCAATATTTATAGGTCTGACAATGTGCTATAACGATTTACTATGTGAAATCTTGAACATGTTTTGAAGTTTATTTTACTTGATTGAAGTAAAAGCTCCCTCATGTAGATACCCTTGATATGCAAGCAGTTAAAATCAACTTCCTTTGTGAAATATAAAATTGAATAAGGTTCAAGAAACAGATAGACACTGACATCATGTAAGGTTGCATTGGTATTTGAAGTTCAACATCCTTTTCTTCTACGCTCAATACTCAATCGCATGCATGCATATAAACAGTTTGTTCGCTGGTTGGTTTCTGGGTTGATAAACTCGGCTGGTGCTGATTTGTTGTGAGAGAAAAATACTATTGGCTGGCTGATAATCCCTGACTGAAAGCAACAAACGAACAGCCTAAAAGTGTGTGGTGCTCATTGCAGTTATTCCCTGAATATAAAGTACTATGACTATTCTATGTTATTTCATTTTTCCTTTATAATAACATGTTCATTTTTTATGTGTGCAGGTGTTTGACCATATTTGCATTCGTGAGGACCGGGATGACATAAATGAATAAGTTATAAGTTTAAGGACCGAGATGACACAGTCAAATAAGTTCGAGGACCGATAGTGGACTTTACTCAATGAGATATATGGAGAAAGAACTAATGCACCATGGAAATGTGTGTGTGCGCGCGTGCGCGTACTTGTCCAAGCGTTTGTCTCTGAAAGTACTTCGGCTTGATGGTTCCAGTGCTACTGAAGATCATATCACATTTTTAGGAACCGTGATGGAGCGAGCTTCCAACCTGCAGTCAGTTGTTCTGGAAGAACAATATTGTAACTTTGTAAGAAGTGCATTGCGATTTGCATTCCTACTACTAAAAGCAAATGTAAATTTCTAAAGAGAGATGAACAAGAGATGGTAGCAGATAATTTTAGAAGCTGGTTCTCCTCCCGTGCGCAAATAATTTTCAACGAGTACAAAATTTCTAGCGATTAGGGTGTGTTATATTCATTTGTGCTGAATAGTTTCTGTGTGCTATCAGAAGAAAAGAGAAGTTCATGGAAAGGCGTGGTTTACCTAGCACAAGTAGTTGGATTCTTTTGTTCTCACTTTTTTTTTTTGATAAATAACAAGAGAAGTTCATGGAAAGCTCGTAAAAGCTTTATTACAAAAGTTGGTGCTGGGCTAGATTGATGCTTTTGGATGTTATAGCTATCTATATAACGCTTCTAGGCATCTGACATGTGAGCTAGCTCTATGCATATTTGTGCTAGGGTGGGCCGGAGGCGGCTGGGGTCGGCCGGGCGGGCGTGCAGCCTCGTCGGGTGGGCACGGCCTCGCCAGGGCGGAGCCATGCTGGCGGCGAGGTGTGGCCATGATGGCCGGGTGTGGCCATGGCGCAAGGTCGGACTCGGGAAGGCACGGCCCAAAAGCTCAGGAAAGAAGGAAAAGAAACGAAACGAAACGAAACGAATCGGCAGGTGAGATGGGGGTGTGTAACTTGTAGCAGTGGTGGATAATTTATCCTAACTTAAGTAATTTGAGTTTGGTGGAGCACCGCTTCAAGAGTTTGGGATTTTGTGGAGCTAGACCGTTTAGGTAACTTTTCGTGAATTGAAACTGTTTTTGGTTAATCTATAGCTGTCCCAAAGAGGCCCTAGATTAGCTACCTGAGTAGCATAGCATGTATCCTAGAGTAGATGTACTAAGCTTTATGACTTCGTTATTTGTGCATGCAAGCGGCCGCTGCATTGTTTTCCTTGTCTTATGCGCACCTGGTGTCGAGATAGGCGTAATACATTCTAACGTCAAGATTCGGCCACATCAGTGCCACATCCGTTGTCACACCACCGCTACTCTTGAATCTCGGCGTCATATGCTATGGCGCCGAGATATGTAACCTCGGCACTAGGGTTTATGATGACGATTCCGGGGGTTTGAAGACGGAAATAAGTCCCTCAGATATATGAATGTGAATATTTCTCAAGAAAAAGATTAACTAATAAACAATTCGGCCTTGTCGTCTTCCGTTGACGAGCGTATAAACGTAGCCGAAGTAGAAAGCTACGCAAGCACTACCATCCAATTCTTTTCCTGGTAAATAAGTTAGCAATAAATCACGCCACGGGCGTTTGTCCGGATGGACGGACCGACCCATCCGCCCCGCTCACCTGCGTTGCGTGCAGCGCGCCTTCGCATGCCCACGTCATGCGCCCCACGCCCCGCCCTACTCCGCCTTGCTCACTCCCTCCCATCGCGCGCGTAGTCTACTCCCACCCATTGCGCGTGTAGCCTGTTCGGGCGAGCCAAGGCCGGTGCTAGTGGTGCCGATGATGGTGGTGCTTGTGCGCCGCCGCTGGTGCTGGTGCTGGTGGTGCTCGCGCGCCCTCGCTCGCTGCCGGCTCCCACCCGATGCCTGGAATCGACCGGTGCCGGCCTTCCCAATGTTGCAAAACGCATGTTTCAAGTATTTCAGATGTTTCATATGGATGTTGCAATAGTAGTTTCCGCATGTTGCACATGTTGCAATGGTTATACACACATGTTGCAAAACTTTGTTCAAAATGTTTCATCTGTTTCAGACGCATATTGCAAGTGTTTTATCTGGATGTTGCATATGTTGCAATGGCTATGTTGCAAACGTATGTTCCGGATGTTTCATCTGTTGCAGACGTATGTTGCAATTGTTTCATCTGATTGTTGCAAAAGTAGATCTGTATGTAGGATTGTTGAGCGAGGAAGAGAGAGCTAGCGTGGGAGCCATGACGGTGTCGATGGGTGGAGGAAGCGCAGGCCACATGGCACCATTGTGAAAGAGGCTGGGGCGTCATCCACGCGGCGTGGAAGAGGCGGGCGAGGCGCCGATATGGAAGAGACGGGGCCGAATCATGCGGACGGCATGGGCGTGGAAGGGAGCAATTCGAACACGGGCGCAGAAAGCGGAGCTGACGCGAAGCAGAGAGACTAGGACAGAGCAGGCACAGGCGTCCGGACGCTAGTCTTGCCCGTTTGCGTGCTATTCTTCGCTCACATCATCAAAGTGCCCAAACACGACTGATGAGGTGTCCTCAAGTGCGTGGAGGGACGTTCAGTACTCGAAACAAAACTCGCCTGTCGTACGTTGTAATTCCTCGACTCCACATTCGTACCAGGGTGCTGGGCCATCGACATCACATCAGGATGTAGAGCCATAAACTTTTTATTAATAACTGGTTCATGATCTCATCGTATCGCCGAAATGCAGAACTTGGCACCCCAGTGTTTGGCTATTTCAGATTCCATCCTTGAAACAGTGTATGCAAACTTAGCACAGCTGGTGGCGTTAACACTTCGCAGGCCCAAGCAGCTACGACAAAGCACTGCACGCAACGCAAATGAGATGATCTCTGCCGTTTGCTAAAGGTTTTGAAGAGCCAGAGGAGGAAACCAGCACAAAGAAATCAGTTGCCTGTACGGTACCCGAGACGCAGCCAAAACTCCTGCAGCATTAGGCAGAGGACACCAGAGAAACAGCAGGCCCCGCGCGCCGCGACACCAGCATGAGAGCGCCGAGCGCCGGACGCCGGAGCAGCCAGCCGATGACCGCCTACCTAAAGCGACGTTACGGCCACGGCCCTCGGCCCTCGGCTGCATCACCACTTACGCGAGTGTGACCAACAGCGTCGTCCAAACGCAAACGCTCTGCTACAGCTGCGCCTGCGCGACAAACCGGCCGGTGCATCGGTCTGTTCGACGAACGCCAGGCTTGGCAACAAGGAGAGCGGAGCCGGTCCTCGTCTGATCTGGCCGCTGGATCGGACGAGGGAATCAGGGAATCGGGCGAGAATGACGCGTGATCGAATGAGGGAAAGCGATCGAATGACGTGCCAGTGGTTCCTGCAAGGATCAAGATCAATCCGTCGTGATCAATCATGCAAACAATCCTCCGGCAGCGTCGGATCGGATGCACGCACGCGCCGCGGGGGGCAAGGCAAGGCAAAGCGACCACCACCCCTTGGGAACGCGCTCGTCGTGCACCATCGGCGGCTTCCTCACCGCCCGAATCCCATTCTCCCAGCGCGGCCCATACGCATCCGGCATCTCCTCCTCCCTACCGGCCTGGGCGGGCCAGTATATATCGCTACACACACTTGGCCATCGCGAGCAGAGAAGCATCGACCACAGTCGACAGTCGACACGATGGCAAGTCCGTTGCTGTGCCTGGCCGCCGCGGCGCTGGCCGTAGTAGCCGTCCTCGTCTCCACGACAGAGGCGTGGCGCGCGACGCCGCCGCCGCTGCCGGTGCTGCCGATCCCGTCGGCGCCGCAGCTGAAGTGGCAGTGCCGCGAGGTGATCATGTTCTTCCACTTCGGCATGAACACCTTCACGGACTCCGAGTGGGGCACGGGGTCGGAGGACCCGTCGCTGTTTCGCCCGCGGGGCTCAACGCCACCCAGTGGATGGACGCGGCGCGCGCGGCGGGGGCCTCGCTCGTCATCCTCGTCGCCAAGCACCACGACGGGTTCTGCCTCTGGCCGTCCGAGTACACGGCCCACTCCGTGCGCGCCAGCCCCTGGCGCGGAGGCCGCGGCGACGTGGTCAGGGAGTTCGTGGACGCCGCCCGTGCGCGCGGCGTCGACGCCGGGCTCTACCTCTCGCCGTGGGACCGGCACGACGAGCGGTACGGCGAGGAGGTCGCGTACAACGAGTACTACGAGGCCCAGCTCCACGAGCTCCTCACCGGGTGAGTTCCGTTCCGAGCTGCTGCGCTAGCTCTCAATCTGCTCATGAGCCATGGCCGGCGGCGGCCATGCAAGCAAACAGAGCATCGCGTAGCAATTGTCACCTTACATGATGATTCTGTGTGCAAATCAACTATCAAGGTAGGTACGGGAGCGTGTCGGAGATTTGGTTCGACGGCGCCAAGGGCAAGAACGCGACCAATATGACGTATCACTTCCAGGAGTGGTTCCAGACGGTGAAGCAGCTGCAGCGCTCCATCAACATCTTCTCCGACGACGGGCCCGACGTCCGGTGGGTCGGCGACGAGAAGGGCTACGCCGGAACCACCTGCTGGTCCACCGTCAACCGCTCCATGATCACCATCGGCGAAGCCGGCATCGAGAAGTACGTGCAGTGCACACGTATAATACGAAGCATCCTCTGCCAATGGTGTCGATGGACTAATATATTAGAACATGCATGATCCATTGTCGTGCGTGCGTGCAGGTACCTGAACGAGGGCGACCCACTGGGTGCCGCCGGAGTGTGACGTGTCGATCCGGACGGGCTGGTTCTGGCACAAGAACGAGACGGCCAAGCCGCTGAGCCAGCTGCTGGAGATCTACTACAACTCCGTGGGACGGAACTGCGTGCTCCTGCTCAACGCGCCGCCCAACTCCACTGGCCTGGTCGAGGACGCCGACATCGCGCGGCTGCGCGAGTTCGGGGCCGCCGTGGCCACCATCTTCGGCACGGACCTCGCCGCGGGCAGCGAGCGCGGCGCCGGGTTCGCGGCGCGCAACGTGCTGGACGGCCGCGACGACACGTACTGGGCGCCAACGGGCGAGGACGGGCGCCGGAACGGGTACTGGATCGAGCTGCGTCTGCGGCGGCCGGGGCCGGGCGCGCAGGCGTTCAACGTGGTGCGGATCCAGGAGCACGTGGCGCTGGGGCAGCGCGTGGAGCGGCACGCGGTGTACGTGGACGGCGCGCCCGTGGCCAACGGCACGACGGTGGGGCACAAGCGGCTGCACCGGCTGCCCCGCCCCGTCGCGGGCACGACGGTGCGGGTCTGGATCGCGGCGCGGCGTGGCCCGCCGCTGCTCTCGGCGGTGGGCCTCCACTACGACCCCTTCGTCGAGGCGAACACGATGTGACGTGGCGAGCGCGGCGCGCAAAGGGGGCATGATTGCTTGGTGTAGTAATGGTGGATTGGTGGTGCGTGGGCAGTCGGCGTCGTCCCTGTCCTGGTCGTCCCAGCCCCAAGCGACGGAACTGCGACGTGCGTGCGATGCGAGGCACCAGCACCACCAACGGCGCACCGGCGAGGAAAGCAGCGCTCTGTTTGCCAGTCGTTCTGGACTCTGTTGATGGGAACCCGGAACCGCATCATAAAGCGGCATTGCCATTCCGTTTGGATGGATTCATGGCTGGGTCTGTTTCTTGCTGCAAATAAGATAGCGTTTGGTTCGATCCTATGTAACGTAATCCATTTACGCTGTTAAGTGTTTGCGTTAAATCCTGTTTGTTTCCGCCTCAACCGCAATCAGATCCCCTGTAATCAGATACCGTAGTATACAAATCTGATACGCCTCCCAACCTTCCGTAATCAGATAGCACGACACCCGGATAGCCCAGCACGGCACCCCGCATCCATCGTCTTCGACTCTCATTTTCTATCATCTCGGCAAGGCGTTTCATGGCGACTCGTCAATAGCGCCGCAGTCCGTCCCTCCACCCAATCTCGTCGCCACCCGTGAGAGCGCAGAGGAAGCCCACGCACCTGGCAAGGACGGCAGCGGCGAGACTACTGCCCCATTCATCTCCAAGGACGAATCTGCAGCGGCTGGTGGGCTTAGGGCAGCAGCAGCGCGGGTGCAGATGCATCTCAACCCAAGGCTAGCAGCGCGGTGGTGGTGCTGGTCATGGTCTTCAACTCTGTAGGGCTTGTGCTTCTTGATGACTGCTGAGAGCTCTCACACTGGCCGGACTGCTTGCCGCCGGGCAGCTTCTGATTCCATTTAGGTTACACTGCAGAAACCAAACAAAGGCACTGATTTGTTACTTTGTTGTCGTTAGCACTGCTTTCTGATTACATTGGCGTTTGCGTTACAGTTCCTAAACCAAACAGCACCTAATTGTTGGGTGCCAGTTTCGTTCCGTTAAAGGGTACCCTCGTTTTGTTTTTCGTGCCGTGATGGTCAGTCGTTCACCGGCGCGTCGTCTAAGAAACGTGGCACGCGCGAGATGGCACGGCCTATAGCGATGAACGCAAATGATTGGCCTTGCATGGCCAGTCGACGTCGTCGTGCTCGTGCACCGCATGGCAAACGGCGCAAGGCCGAGTGACAAAGCGACGCGTTCGTGTCGGTTGGGTTGGTGCGTTGGTCGAGGGTCGAGGCCCAGCCCTTCGTGGCGAGAACGCCATTGTTGATAGCTGAAGCCTCGTTTCGAGGATTTGACGAAATTATTCTAGTGAATGTCATGAAATCCGTAGGACGATTCGTTCAGCGTGAAGATACCCTTGGCATGCTCCCCGTGCTGTTTGTTACTAGTACTATCTTATAAAGTGAGCGGTTTCTCCTAGGTTTGATCACTCGTGCCACAAGTTCAGGAAAGTACAATAATAGTCTTTAGGACAAGCTAATCGTTACTTTTGCTCATGTGAAGGAAATGGATGAGAGCAATATTGTCACAGCCTCACAGGAGCTTATGTAGTGGTATGGTGGACCCAGATATAGTAAGTATATGTGAGAGAAATACAAAAGAGAATATAAAATATGGTACCATATAATAAAAAAATTGAGTAAAATCCACATCCCGGTCTCTAAACAAAACGTCTGGACGCAGACAGAAATAGCAACTATATACTTTCTGACCACAGGAGACCAAATCTGCACCCATGTCAAGTTCAAACAATACATATATAGCGTTACTTAATAACATAAATGTTGATTTCGTGTACATAAAAAACGTACTCTCTTGCGTTGGCCAAAATGAGTGTCGTATTCTCGTTGACGAACACTAACAAATAAACAAAAGCCGATACAATTGCAGCCAAAACTGAGACTATTCCCTCCCCCTCTTCCTCAAAACTACGTCAAACACAACATAGTTCTCTGAAATGTCCATTAGAAGACTGCAGTAGCTTCTAATTCCTCCTGTTAAATCTGTTGCCGCCGCCTCCCCTCCCAGAAAACCCTCTGCCGCCTCCGCCTCTGCCTCTGCCTCTGCCATCACCACCGAAGCTGCCTCCACGGCCACCACCAGAGAATCTCCCGCCTCCACGGCCAAATCTTCCTCCGCCAGAGTTGCCTCTTGACTGCTCCTTCTCTTGCAAGGGTGGCAGTTGCTTGACTTCATCAATTGTCACCTGTGCGGCATTCTCTGAAGCTGCAAGATCATGTAGTGTTTAGAGTGGAGCCCCGTATGCAATAAGCTATCATAGTTGGATTTTAGAAAATAGTACAACGACACTTCAACTGCCTTATTTGAATTGCATAATAAGAAAATGGATTCCAGGGATTTTACACAGCAGTAAAATATTTTCATGCTTAAACCAGTCGATAATTATTTGACGAACAAGAGAAGGTCCATTATACCTTGAATGTAGTCTTCAACATCTGCTGCAGGAACATCAAATACAACCCCTGTTCCATCAGTAGTGAGGGTTGCACCCTTTACATCTGCAAGTTTCTCTTCTGGCATGAACCTTTTCAATATAGTAAAAGCAAACCTGCAGGCAGAAAAGGATATCCATTTAATCAAAAGATCAGAGGACCCTCATGAACCAGAAGCATAAATTACCAGCCACTTACCCAGGTGACCACATCGGTCTGCCAGTTTGAAGATGTAGTGTAGTGTAATCCTCCATGGAAGACAACAATGATCTTTTCTTTATGTCCGTGTAACCCTAAGGTACATATTTCTGTTAGTTACAACTGCCAGTATCTAGAGCAGGGCAGAAACCTGGAAATGTAGAACGAGAAAGCAACTTACAACTGCCTTTGCAAGTGCTTTGGCAAGCAAATCAGCTGCAGACAGACTGGAAGAGCTTAGCAACTGCTCTGCTTGCTGCCTGAAGACAGGAATAACACTGCACGACACCCATCCACATGCTTAATGACAAACCAATAAGCAAAAGGAACATGCTTGCCCTAAAATGATCATGGAAATATCTTACCTGTCTGACACACTCGCAATGGCATCCGCAGCTTCACTGCCAGCAGATTGTGCTACATCAGTAGGTTGTGGCGCAGAGATATGCTCAAACTTAACCCCCGACTCCCTTTCTAGTCTGCTCACACTGTGCTTATATCTGGGCTCATAAAGCATGACAGCAACACCAGTATTACCTGAAAATCAAATGGTCGCATTAAAGGTAGCAATTGTAAACAATACTTTACACAAATAAGCATCATAATATTTAGCATACCTGCTCTCCCTGTCCGACCAGACCGGTGTATGTAAGCTTCAACGTCACGGGGAGGTTCACACTGGAAGTTTTAAATGCAAACGGTAAGTAGTTAATCAAGCAAAGGCCTGCGTACAACATTTTTTTGGAGACCAAGCCTAGCTATTAGAAATTACTGAACTGCAAAACAAGCCATACCTGAATGATAAGCTGCACATCATTAATATCCAGACCACGAGCCGCCACATTTGTAGCAACCAAAACTTGGAACTTCCCACAACGGAATCCAGCAAGAATGACCTAAATCATCCAAAAACACATCAAATATCTGCACCTTACTTGCAACTATTACAACAGTGTGAATAGTCGGGCAGATCAATAAAAAAGATTGACAAACAAAATTTAAAACTGAGTATAACAGTTGATAGTGTTGAATTATAAAGAATGGAGTTCAGCTGCACAAAGGATTAGAACAACATTTCTGTTTTTTTAATGGTATATACATTAAATGTCAGTAGTATTACACGTTAGCAAGAATTATAAACACAGTACGCACATGCCAATAACATTCAGAAAGGCATGTTATACAGACAGTATTGCAGATTAGTCAATTATATTATCATATTGACACGTGATCAAAGAAAAATTCACATACTTCACGCTGAGCTTGCACAACATCTCCATGCAAGGCACGGGATCCAGGAATCAAACCAGAAAGCTCTGATGCAGAATCCTTCGTCTCAGTGAAGATAATGGTTCGGCCTCCACTGAAGCAAAGAAAAGTTTAGAAAAGTCAACTAAAATCAAACAGCATACTGAAAAACGATGACCATCTATGGGTAGTACATACTGGCTATAGCATCGGATAATGTCTGGAATAACTTGTGCCCTTGCTGCCTTGTTACAAGGAAGAGCAAGGTGCTTAACAGATGCACTGGCCTTCAGTTTCTCATTACCGACAAGATCAACTGTTTTCCTGTCAACTTTCAGAAACCTCATAGAGAGCTATGATAATTCCGAAACACATTGTCAGTTCACAGAAATGCTGGAAAGATATTTAAAATAGGAAAGTCCTATAAAAAACGATCTTACCTTATTCACCCAATCTGGCAGAGTGGCACTAAACAGAAGTGTCTGTACTTTGGTAGCATCTTCTACCTTGCCTGATCATATATAAGAGGGAGTGATTAAATATATCAAACAGAAAGTTAACCAACGCTGTTAAATGCTCCATTTGAAAACCATGTTAATTGATCCATTTAAAAATTAGAAAGTGAGTAGTAAATAAAAAAGTATATAAAGAAAATAGTTGGCTCATTTGTACTAATATATATTCTCAAAAATGAAACAGTAGTATATAAGAACCTACAATACATAGAAACTGACAAATGAGCATACCAAGAATGAGCTCGACATCATCAACAAAGCCCATGTTAAGCATCTCATCAGCTTCATCAAGGACACGGAATTTCAAACATTTCAAATTGAGAGTTCCTTTTACAATGAAATCCTGCACAAGTAATGTAGCACACATAAGAGAAGGAGAAAATGAGCTCACAATGCAATGGGATGGAGATACAAGAAAGACAAGATAATCACCTTGACACGACCAGGAGTTCCAACAACAATGTCCACACCTCTTCTCAATGCCATTTCTTGTGGACGATAAGGAGAACCCCCATACACACAACATGCAGAAAGCCCAAATGTTGCACCATAAAACTCAAAGTCGGCATGCACCTG